AAGACCAAACTCAATCTCCAACTGGTATCTACCTTGCAAGCCGAGAGAATGTTGAGAGAAGAAACAACTCAAGGGTTACTAGTGAACATCTCGGGAGAAAAACAAGCGACGATAAAGATTGAAGATGTACCAGTGGTACAAGAATTTATAGATGTGTTTCCAGAAGATCTTCATAGCATCCCACCAGATAGACAAGTGGAATTTGTAATGGATCTAGTTCCCGGAGCGGCACTAGTAGCTCAAAGATCCATACATAATGGCCCCAAAGGAACTTCAAGAATTGAAAAATCAGTTGAAAGAATTGTTGGACATTGGTTTTGTTCGACCAAGTGTATCTCCATAGAGTGTACCAATGTTGTTTGTAAATAAAAAAAGAAGAAAAATATGAAGAGTATATCGACTATCGGGAGCTGAATCATTTAACCATTAAGAATAAGTATCCCCTCTCGAGAATCGAAGATTTGTTTGATCATCTAAAAGGGTTGAGGTATTTTCCAAGATTGACTTATGATCTGGATATCATCAATTGAAGGCTAAGGCGAGTGATATACCCAGGACGGCTTTCAGATCTTGTTGTGGACATTATGAGTTCACTATTATGTCATTCAGTTTGACTAATGCTCCAACGGTATTCATGGATTTGATGAATCGTGTATTTCATTAATAATTGGATCAATTTGTTATAGTCTTCATTGATGAAATTTTGATGTATTCCAAGAATAAAGAACAACATGACGAACATATTCAAATAGAGTTAGAAATACTGCGTAAGGTAAAATTATACGCCAAATTTAAAAGGGCAAATTTTGGTTGGAGGGAGTTGGGTTTCTTGGTCATGTAGTTACTGCTCAAGGAATTGAGGTGTGTCCAGTAAAAATGGAAGTGGAAACTAATTGTAATACATCTACTAAAGCTGGTGAAGTTCGAAGTTTTTTAGGGTTGGCCAGGTACTATCGAAGATTTATCATAGGATTCTTCAAAATAGATGGACCCATAACACAATTGACAAGGAAATGAGTAAAGTTTCTATGGACAGATAAGTGTGAACAAAGTTTTCTGGAGCTAAAGCAAAAAATTGATTATAGCACCTGTGTTAACCATACCCAGAGGTACAAAAAGGTTTGTTATATATATAATGATGCATCCAAACAAGGTTTGGGATGTCTACTGATGCAATATAAATATTTCTTCACATAGAAGGAATTAAATACGAGTCAAAGATGATGGTAGGAGCTAGTAAAGAATTATGATTGCACTATTCATTACCATCCGAATATGGCTAATGTTGTTGTCGATGTTCTAAATAGAAAGTCGACAGGACAATTGACATTATTACCTACTAACGAATAGAGTTGATAAAAGATTTTGAAAATTTATGAATAATAGTGGTTACCATAACAAAGCCACTCATTTAGAAACTTCTGTTGTTCAACCTGCTCACAAAGATCGAATTATAGAGGCACAGGGTAAAAGATGCATTCATGTAAAAGATTAGGAAAGCCATTGGCATTAATAGAAGAAAGGATTTTGGAATCGCTACGGATCAGGCACTGATATTTAAAGGAAGAATTTGTGTGCCTAAAGTTGAAGTTTTGAGGAATGAGATATTAGAAGAGGCTCATTTCACCCCGTACACCGCACATCCTGGTGGTACGAAAATGTATCGAGATCTTCGAGATACATTTTGGTGGAGGAATAACATAGAAGGAATTAAATACGAGTCACAGATGATGGTATGAGCTAGTAAAGAATTATGATTGCACTATTCATTACCATCCGAGTATGGCTAATGTTGTTGCCGATGTTCTAAATAGAAAGTCGACAGGACAATTGACATCATTACCTACTAACGAATAGAGTTGATAAAAGATTTTGAAAATTTATGAATAATAGTGGTTACCATAACAAAGCCGCTCATTTAGAAACTTCTATTGTTCAACCTGCTCACAAAGAACGAATTATAGAGGCACAGGGTAAAAGATGCATTCATGTAAAAGATTAGGAAAGCCATTGGCATTAATAGAAGAAAGGATTTTGGAATCGCTACGGATCAATACTATTCAGATGGAGTTGATCAAAGACTCGAAAAATTTGAGAATCAAAATGATTACCACACCAGAGCTAGTCATCGCTCGTTTAGCAACTTTAGTCGTTCGACTACTCTCAAAGATCGGATCATGGAAGCACAGGGTAAAGATCTATAGATCAATAACGAGATTGGTACAGATAGGAGAAAGGATTTTGGAATAACTTCAAACCGAATATCGATGTTTAAAAGAAGAATTTGTGTGCCTAAGGATGAAGTTTTGAGAAATGAGATATTGGAAGAGGCTCATTTCACCCCACACACCGCACATCCCAATGATACAAAAATGTATCGAGATCTTCGAGATACATTTTGGTGGAGAATAAGAAAAGAACTTATAAGCGTATTTGTGGCAAAATGCATAGTATGTCAACAAGTTAAAGCAGAGCATCAAAGACCGACAGGGTTGTTAAATCTATTAGACATACTTGAATGGAAGTTGAAGAATATCGCAATGGACTTTGCGGTATGATTCCCAAAGTCAGTAAGAGGACATAATACTATATGGGTAATATTGGATTGTTAAACAAAGTCAGCTCATTTTCTTTCGATAAAAATGGCATTTATTCTAGATCACCTAGCACAGTTGTACATTAGAGAGATTGTAAGAATGAATGGTGTCCTTGTCTCTATTGTGTCTGATAGAGATCTAGATTTACGTCTAAATTTTGGAAGAGCTTACAAGGAGCTATGGGAATGAAATTGACTTTTAGTACATCATATCATCCTTCTGATGGTCAGTCTGAAAGGACTATTCAAACTTTGGAAGACATGCTAAGAGCTCGTGTTTTGGATCCAGGAGCTAGTTGGAAATTGTATCTACCTTTGGTGGGATTCATGTATAATAACAGTTTTTCAGGCAACTATTGGAATGGCACCATATGAAACTCTCTTTGGTAGAAGATGCAAATCATCTGTTCATCGCGATGAAGTTGGAAAAAAGAGTGTTTAACCAGATATCATTGATAGGATAGTTAAAGTCATTGATAAGATTCGTACTAGGATAAAGGTAACACAAGATAGATAAAAGAGCTAGTTGCATTAAAAACAATTTTATGCATTAAAAGTCATTCGTATACAATGATTTGATCAAATGTAAAAATGATTTTTAAAAATGATATTTGGACACATAAAACGCCTTTTATCTTGGAAAGTTAGTCAAAAATACTCTCCAAAAGTCCATGCTTTTCAAAACCTTAAAATCGGAACAAACGGAGGCAAAACATGAAAAATGCCAAACTTTCAGGGTCCAAAATTTGACAGTGCTGACCTCTGACTTTTCTGT